ACTGATCACATATCCATACCCTTCCCTCAATCCCCCTCTAATCCAAAACCAACCATTGTTCGAGGGGTGAATGAATGCCAGGGTGTGAGGGTATACAGATGCACTAAGGGTGAAATACCCAAAGGAAAGATTGGAAGGCTAGGGAATTTTGGCATGGGAATATTAATTCTGCTAAGCAAAAACCTGGAATTCACTTTTCTGTGGACAGAATTCTGAGTGGAAAGAACAGGGGGCGGTGAATAGAAAAAAGGGGATTTTATAGCATAAGGAAACTCGTTGCCCACAAAGATTAATCCAGCAGCAGTAACAAAGGGTGGATTGTTCACACCACCACTCTTCCTAGTGCAAAATGAGTGCATAATGTTTTCTGCCTAACCCAGTCCAGCCAGCTTCATCTGCAGTCTGCTGTAACCAGAAATTTCAATGAACGTACCTCTATTTCCTTTTGGTCTGCTGCAGGAATATCAAAGCACACACCCTAAAAAGAGAGAATAATTTTAATGGATACAAGTCTAGCCTTTTAATTGACCGCAACTAAAAAAAATAGAGCCTACATGGGAAAGTAGGTGTGTGAAAGAACCAGAAAAATAACAGCAGAAGAATGGATAAGAGAATGGCACGTGTTGACAGCACACAAATTAAGTCATCAAGATCACAGCATCTCTCTGTTCTATTTTATTGATCTGGGTATGTTGAAAAACAAGAAATACACCCAGAACAACACAAAGATGGAGCAAATGAGCAATAATGCCCCAAAACCCACAAAAGCAGGACACAAGCATTCCTTGTCCTATGTGTCACCCAAATAATCCCAGGCAGATTGTTTGATCCCATATTTTCATGTTTGTGAAAATGCATGTGAATTCTGAGACAAGAGTAGCGAGGGGAATCATCTTTGTTTAACATGATTGTCTCTCACTGACTTTTGCTACAGTTGCTGCAACACTGTAAAGTACGCAACCCAAACAGTAACTTTGTGATCTTTCAGGTACCAGAAAGAAGAGGGACATCCACTCTCAGACCTGACTGTCATAAGAAATCCTGTTCTGTGTTTTGTCATTAAGGCAGAGTAAACAGAGTCTGTACCTTTTACCTGTTCTGCTATCCCTATAGCCGTGCTATATACTGCATTGCATCAGTGGAGCAGAGCCCTAAGCCCCCTGAGATGCCTAAGCCCCAATAAAACAGACTGAGGCCCATCCTTCTACCAGTCGTGACCTTAGCAACAGAGCCTAGGAATGGGGAAAAAAAAAAAAAATCCCAAATATCTCTCCTGACAATTGCTGAGAACAGACCACAACCAGAAGAGCTCAGTAGCAAAGGTACCATGAAAAGCTTACCATTTTTCCCTTGAGGAAACACATTCTGTTCACTTTCCTATCAACGTCATCACCCAACAGTTCTCGCAGTCTTCGCCAAGCATAGCTCATATTGTTTATTTCTTCAGAGCAGTGTAGTATCATTGTAACAAATCCCTAAAGAATAAGAAATTGGGCACACTCCATTCAGTCAGAGGAATAAGCTTCAGCATATCTATCACTCCCATGACAAACCTGCTAATTTACAGCTTATAAACTATGTTTTCAAGTGGATACTATTACAGGAGAGCAGCTATATTTATAGCCACTATATTCTTGCTTTTAACTAAATTAGTAGTTCCTATTGGCTTAAGTACAGTTCCCATAAACAAAATCAGAAGGACACAAGTAATTCTATTTAAACAACACAGGTGTGTTGGTTTTTTTTCAGATTCAAGACAAATGTTAAGCCATACATACCGCATCCGAGTTCAGCAAGGAGCGCTGCTCAATGGAAGTAGCACCTGAAATATGGGCTAAAGCTGCAGCCAAGGCATTAACTGGTCCCTTTTCTTGTATTAGCCACCGAGCAGACTCTTTGAAATACTCAATAGCAGTATGAGGAACAGAATCCAGACACCTAAGTAATTAAAGCAAAAAAAAAAAAAAAATTGGAATATTTGGAATAGAAAAAAAAATGGAATAGAAGAAAAACAGCAGTCCAAGACCACTGTGATCAGTTCAGAGACAGCAACGTGCAATCCAAACAGCCCTTCTGAAATAGGAAGATACAACAGGGCTTGAGTCACCGAACACACCTGATGGCATCTTTGCTGGAAGCCTTTATTATATCTGTTGCGGTAGGAACACCAACACGCTTGAATGTAATGCCCTGAAATTTAAAAAGCAAAATACAGATGAAAGTTGCAGACCAGAAATAATTCAGAAACAGTATTGGACTGCAGTGAACAAGCATTTAAATCCATCATTTTGCTTCTTCTTTTCACCTTTTAACTCCCAACTTTTGCTAATGAAAATTACAAGATTAAGCTTACAGGGAAACGGGTAACACTTAAACGTTTTGGTTTTTTTTACGCTCTTTACGTACCAGGTCAGTTTAAATAATCCAGTGACCTTGAACTGAAATAAGTACAGACCATTTTGGCAGATTCTAGGGGAAAAACCATCCTACAAATTCTAAATTATTAATTTTCATCTGATTTACTTGGACTTAAACACAAGATTCACAGCCTTTCTAAATGCAAGTCTGAGTTTTATGTGTCAAGACTAAACCATCTCATCCCAACTGAATACTTAATTGTCGAGAAAACTACCATATGGAACAGTGCACAAAGTGCAAAAATGGAGGTAACACTTCTCGGTTAAGTTACACATATGCAAATCACTGATCAGACAATAAGCCAAGGCGAACACTAAACTGAAATCCTGCTAGCTTTTTCTCATTTCCACAGGCACAACCTGACTGGCATTCGCTGAAAAAGTATGGGCATGAGAATCTGTGGCACGCTACTTGCTCCACGGTAACTGACAGTGTACCCGAACTCGGCACGGTAACTGAACCTCAACTGGATGCTTTGTAAGCTATGTTCTGTAATTGAACTATTGAACAAAACATGAAGATTTTACATGCTACCCTAACACATTACATTGGAGTAAAAGAAAACTGTACTTTACCGCTTTTTGTTCCACGTATCTTAACTGATGTTCTTCCTTTCGCTGATAAAAACAGATACAGATCCCAGTCCGTCCAGCTCGACCTGTGCGTCCAGAACGATGGATATAGGACTCCACATCCTTCAAAATAAATAGCCGTATGACTTATCCAATTTATTGTAATTTAATCAATTCATTGCATTCTCATAACTTAGTAGAAGCTATTACAGTTAAGCCTAAACAACACACAATAACTGCATCAGAGAATCAAATTAAAAAGCATTGTTTCACTAAAGTCAAACAATTAAGCCTCTAAAACCCTCTAAAAAATCACGGTTTGAAAGCCAGAATCAGAACCACAGGTCAACTAAGTTTTGTTTTGGCATCACCACAGAGAATATGAGAAAACATTTTGAGCGCGTATATCTCTAGAACAATCCCACTCACCCTCCTGCGTATCAACTTAAGCATGGTTACTGAGCTATTAATAGCGAATTCACCGAAAAATTAGCTCGTTTCTTTTAAACCCTCTTAACTTCAACCAATGTTCTCAACTGTTGGGATGGCCTCTTCATATATGCCCCTACTTAGTGAATCATTCTTGCAAGATGAATAGCCTTTCTTCACTTCCCACTGCTTCCAGGCTTGCAATCACCATACATGGCTTTGAAGGGAGAGGCTTTAAACAGCCTTAAAGGAAGGCATTTTAAGGAGACCATCTTTAAACACACTTGGAACTGTTGGGCTCTGAGAAAAATCTTCTAAGAAACTACTTTTGTATATCAGGACATTCCTTACCCTTAAATGCAACGCCGATATGCTCCATGTGGTGAACACAATCAGCTGATAGCATTTACTACTTGAAAACAAACCTATAAATTATTACAAGACCATCTCCTACCTTTGGTGGTGAACTTTGCACAACCAGGTCAACTTCAGGGATATCTAAACCACGGGCAGCTACGTTAGTTGCAACCAGAACTTTAAATGTACCATTTCTAAAACCTTTCAGCGTGATCTCTCTTTGCTTCTGAGGAATGTCACCATGCAATGACTGGCAATCCTGAAAAACAGTATTATTATTATAAGACTGTTCCAAAATCCAAGACACTGCTCCATTTTATGGACAGTTTTGCGTACAATATCGTGGTATTTGATAGATACCATATGGCAAGATACAGAAGAACTGAACTACCAGAGTTTATATTTTAGGTGTCTTACAATATTTATTCAGTACTTCTTATTCATATACCTCAAAGACCTTTAACAAAAGCAGGAAAACAGAATCACAACGTGTGTCTTATCTCCACCTCTAACTACTGTGACCTAGGAGAACTATGCCCTAACTTGCCATCCACACCATCTATGCAAGGCTTAGCTGTTTCACAATAGTCATCAACAATTTTCTCAGGCCTTCTTAGTATTCATTTAGACATCTTTTCCAAAATAGTATTGCTTCTTAATCCCCCTTAGTATACTAATTTCCCCCACTCTCAATCAAAGGATTAAAATATAAGTGGTCCTAAAAAAAGTTAACTACAGCTTCAGAGATAAGTTTTAATGTAAACATTCTGAAAGTCCTTCTGTATCACAGCAATAACAAGTATGAAGACTAAACATACAAAAATTGTTTTTTCCTCCAGTTCAAATTTCACAGCTTGCCTGTACATGGCTACCATGTTTTCCACGTGTAAACAGAGAATGATTTGAAAAAGATACCAACACAATGCCAGGGTCAGCACAGAATACAAGATTTTTTTTCCAGACAGTTTTGGATTAATGTCAGCTGGTAAATGGCATAGGCATATATTCTTTTAGCAAGTATTAGTATGCTAAAAGAGAACCATCCAAGTAGTCTCCTTACCTTACCTGCCAAGATCAGAGCTCTGCATTGCCTATGCAAGATTTGATATCACTAATACCACCAATAACTCACGATAAGGCTCCATGCTCAGGTTTAGCTGGTAGTGAGGTCATCTAGGAGTGTGGGAGAAACACTCCTGAACAGTTGTGGCAGATAAAAAAGCTTCCCCTTTCCTTAGAAACGTAATGCTATACTGCTTTCTAGACATAACAACCCATCTTCTTAATGAAAACACATACAGAAAAAGTAGTTGCTGTGATACCACCACCAAACATGAGCATGCAGTGCCAGTGTTGCTACACATCATAAACATCCCACCACTGCATCAACCAGTTATTTTCCACCAGTGCTGGAGTGTGCCGTAGCACAAATCTCAGAAATACAGTAAAGCTCATTCACAAGAGATGGCAGATTGAATTCTTTCTGTGTATACATCTTTAAACTCTTCATAACAGCTAAGAAACACCTTAAGGAAAATACAAATATATTACAGCTCTAAACCCTAATTGGCACTCCCAACAACAATAATTAGCGTCAGCAACTGCTATTCCAGAACAGTGACCTGTTATCCTAGTAGTAGTGTAAGTCTACCACTATTTTTTAATTCAAGACAGTCCTCTCTACAGAAAAAAATAATTCACAACTGCTTCATTTAATATCAATGAGAACACTTCTTTTAAGAAAAAAAAAAAAAAAACTTTTATAGCCCATTATCTGTTAGTGCAGCCTAGTCCTGAAGAATATAATGCTGTAAACTTTCAACCAGTTTGGTTTTGTTTTGTTTTTTGTTTTGTTTTTTTAAATAGTTCTTTTTGGCAGTTTTGAAACTATTTGACCACACGCAAAAGTGGGTTTCCCTTACCCACTTTGAAAGTCTCAATCTAAAACTTACTCAGCATAGGTTTGATATCAACATAAGGTTGATACGTCTCTGACAGGTTTTGTTACTTAATACAGATGATAAAATACCTGTTTGATTGAAGCATTCAGAGCCAGTTCATTTGCCTCCTTTTTGGTCTCGCAAAAGACGATCGTCCTCCCATGACTGCCACTGTACACCTGAATGACATCTCCAATAACCGCAGCTCTCTGAGACCAGTGACACTCTATCGCCAAATGCTATGGAAAAGAATTGAAAAGCAATATGTTTAGCTTACATAAAATCACAATATTCTTTTTTAACACATTTGAAACTGTAAAATCCAGAAACACTAAAGAGTTATACAGGCTCTTATGTCCACCGTGATTAGTCCAACATTAAGCAAAATAATTGCAGTAAGAGGAGAAAAAGATGACAGTCTACAAATCAGTTTTTTAAAGCAACAAAAAAAAACCCAGGAGATGTTATACCATTTCTCTGCAGGACCGTCAGTGGTCCAAGATTTTATTACAGTTCTAACAACTAAAGCTTTATGATGGCTAAAGTGAAACAAATAAATACAAAGTGTTAAAAGCCTTTTTCAAGCAGAAGATTAACATTCTATCAATCCCACTGATACAATTATCATGTGTCCAACTGATCTGTCAAAGTAACCGCTAAGCAGTACTTAAGCAGAAACAGTATTTTATCAAGTAAAATAATTAATTCAGACTTCTAGCATATACCTATTGTATTTCTTGCTATGGTATTTACTGCATAGCAAGCAAAGGCCTAATGAGGTGAGATACCACTGGAAGCTTGAAAAACCCTCCTCTACACAGAATAGCAGAATTTGACTGTGATGTCTGTGGTGATCTAAAAGAGCCAGGTTGATGTTACTGTGTGCCTTTTGCTTCCAACTCGGATAAATTCAGATACCACTTTTCTCTGAAAACTAACCGATAACTGAATCCTCAGTCTACCTGAGATGTCTATAAGGTTACTGGATGCTGTGAGTAGACATATCCTAAACCTAGAAAGAGTTTGAGTAGCTGTAATGTACCTTATGCCTAAAACCTAATTCTCAAAACAACTTTCAACATCACCCCAATAATGTACTTTAGGATGGGATGACTATTTGTCGCATAAAGGAAAAGGGAAGAGGCCTGAAAACATTCCACATTAGATAAATTACTCACTTCTACTGTTGTAGCAGCCTTTTGAGTTCTTTTCCCAATAAGGTCAACCTGTTCGTATTTAGACTTCATGTATTTCTTAGCCACATCATACACCCAATGCGGGCAAGTTGCAGAAAACAGTAGTGTCTGGGGATTGTCTTCAGAATCTTAAAACACAGAACAATGTTTCACAAATTTCATGTGGTTCATCTTACAGACGTATACAAGTTATTAAAAAATATGAGGCATTTCATCTTACAGACGTATACAAGTTGATTATACAAGTTATTAAAAAATATGAGGCAAAATAACAGTATATGAAATAAAGAAGGCAATTCTGCATTACTAACAGCTGGAAAAAAAATACTGCAGAAAGTCAAAATATTTTCAAGATCAGGAAAGAAGTAACTATGATCAAAAATCCAGTCTTATTTTCAAGTGGTAAAAAGGGTAAAAAGCTTCTAATTCCTTTTAACTGTAAAAAGTCCAAGTACAACTTATAGCTAGGTGTTGAAGGAAGCTATTCACATATCCCTAGGTACTGGATTTTAAGCTTTGCAAAGGTCCTATGAATGGTTCCCACTTTCGCAACACTTCCTCATGTACTGCACTTCACAGTACATTTCCTACAATATTGAGTATTCACTCATTTCTAAACAAAACCACCTAGCAAGTTTCAGAAAAATATACCTGAACTTTAGCAGACTAAATGATTTTTAATATTTTCTGCTATTTGTTTAAATATTAAGATTACCCTTCTTGTATGCAACTCGTAAAATGTCTTCCACTTGCTCAGCAAATCCCATGTCCAGCATCTGGTCAACTTCATCAAGTACAACATGTTTCACTTTGGTAAGGTCCAGTTTGCCACTCTGAAGGTGATCTTTGATTCGACCAGGTGTCCCAACCAAAATGTCAATGCCACTTCTCATGAGATCAACTGATAAACAGAAAAGAGCAGAAGAGGAGTTAGCAGTGAACTAGGGAAACTAGGGAGCAGTCTCTACATCAGAAACACATGGTAGCTAAGTAATAATGGAATAGATTCTTAAACCATTCGTAAGTACTCTCCTTACAAATGTAAGTGAGAACAAATGATGAACAGGAGGAGAAAACTTGGGGGAAAAAAAACCCCAAAACTGGTAAGGTAGAAGTTCTACTGCTCTTCCTAAATGAAACAAGTCTTCCTATCTCCCTTCCCTCTCCCCACGATTTAAATAAAGTGGCAAACAAAGAGCTGCTTTTAATACACTTTGGAAATAATGAGCTATTCCCAAATTGTCTACCTTAATCGGAAACTTAATTTTTTTTTTTTATTTTGCTATCCAAATTACTGCAATCACCTCCTTCCTGAAGTTCTATGGGAACAAAAAAAATTCATCCCTAATGACTCAAGATATATTACGATGAAAGAGCTTACTCTCATTCCTCGTCTCATTTGCTTTGTTTACAGCCCTCAAGACAGTAAATTATGCTGCCAAAATATAGAAATTCTTCTCCACTTTACAAATCTTCTAGATATCCCTTATCACACAAAAAAGCCCACACCCACTCACAGCTCTAAGACTACACATTTTTTAAAGAAAATAAAAACGTTTACAAGAACCTAAACCCAAATACCCTGTATACAGACAGTATAATCTCTTTCACTTTAAAGTACACAAGTAGACAAGGAACACCAGAAATATAATCAAGAGCTACAGTTATCTCTCACTATAAGAAGATACATTCTGAGCTACTGAATGCCCGAGGAATACTCTCCAGTTCTTGAGTTAGGAGTGTGTGTTTGGAAGGACAAAATTTGTCAAATATATCAATCGACATTTTAATTACTAGTGATAATTGTCACTTACTTTGTCCATTATATGGAGTTCCTCCATAAAAACAAGCTACAGTTAGCTTTCTTGTGATGTCCTTGAAATCTTTGGCAACCTGGTTTGCCAGCTCTCTTGTTGGACAAAGAACTAGCACCTAGATAGAAGAAACAAACAGATGTTCTCTCAGCATGGTTTCTGCCAAGAAATCATCAGACTTCTAATTATTAGTTTAGGTCTGACTATTTACATAATAAAAAATAAAAACAAAACAAAACAAAAAAAAAACCAAAACAAAAACAAAACAACTGCTTTAAATAGTTATCTAAGCAAAGATTAGAGAAACACACTCCTTAAGTCTCTTGTAACGTCATTAATCTCCTTCAGCATACACTCATTTAGGACAGGCTAACTTTTAAAATGAGATGGACAGGAGGTACTTAAATCTTATTTAACTTCAGCTCTTGAACAGATCAGCTACAAAATTTCTTCTACATGTGCATATGCTGTTTTAAGTACAAGACTGAAGGATTTGGGTAATAAAAGGTTTTTACACATGCTCAGTAACGCTTCACAGTCCTGCGAGAAGGTGTAAGAAAGAGCGATCAAATGTCTCTCAGCTTCCCTGTGACTCAGGGAAACATATGTTCAGTCTGCAAAGCTGGTGTTCAGCATGGTTCTTCTGCAGCCTGTGCTGCCATCCTCACAGAAGCAACGCAGGAACAATCCTCTCTTCCAATATACCGGCTTCACCGCAGGTGATGGACAAGCTACTAGCTAGCAGTTTTAATTAATTTCATTTAATGTGTGATTGCAGTACTGCTCTCAAACCTGGCATCAGTGGCTCGACAAAAGGAACCTTAAAATCCTCATCCTGTTACTTCTTTCAACATTGAAACACATTACAAAAAAGAAAATAGTAGCGTACTATGGTAAAGTGAGGCCTGAATTTTTTTTATTTTAAGACTTGTGATTCCCCCAATGAAAACATTCCCTTTTCCACAAGACTGTGCCAAACGTAGAGTCAGCATTTTCAGTCAGACAGCCAACATGATGGGCAGCTGCAAATAAAACAGCTAGTACTAGTTTTGAAATGAGTTTCAGGTAATCGATGAGATGGGTGACAAGATGAAATAAAGTGACAAAAAACAAATCCACTATTAATGGGGATATGATAAGCTTTGGCCTATCTAGTTTTGGAGAGCATCGTAAGAATTCAGTGAAAAAACATACATGGTATTCCCTAGCAGAATGCAGACAACTCATCCTGAATCTGCACTCTCTGGAGCAGAAGTTTCAATATCTGGCGGTGGTCCTAGTGAAAACTAAGTTTATTTTTAAAGCCTCCCACTATTTACATGTTTAAACAAACACGTTTAAATAGACAGCTTTTATCAATCGGAAAAAGCCACTACTCTGTTGCTAATTGGGAAGAAAACCAAGCATCCAGTAATCACAGGACCTGAACAGGTAAGGTGACTGAATAGAATTAAATAGGAACCCATTGAACACCTGTAGTTTTGGTCTCCCTGTTAGCAGAAAAAAGAACTGACAGGTGGATAGAGCTATTTTGCTCTTTAGTTTTGATCAGAGGGTGTGAGGCAGCACAGGATGCAGGCAAAGCCCAACAAACACAACTTTCAAAGAATCTTTAATGTGGGTTAGCTTGTCCCTGCCAATCTTGAAGAACTTTTCCAGCGGGTTAAAACCCTGAATCACTCAGACATAAGACAAAGCAAAATCAGCATTATAACCATAGTTACCTTTGGTGAACGGCCTCTTCTTCTTTCCTGTGAGTCTCCCTGAAGCTTTTCAATTAAGGGAATAGCAAAAGAGAATGTTTTCCCTGTTCCAGTTCGTGCTTGAGCAATTACATCTTTGCCAGAATATACTGAGTCGAAAGTCTTCACTTGCACGGGAAACAGGTATGTCACTCCTCGAGCTGTAGCAATTTCAACAAACTTCCTTAGTATACCATTTTACAAGTGTTCTTGCATACTCTTCAGAGAAAGTTATCCCAAGCAGAAATTCCATCAACTCTAAAGTCAGTCAGGACTATGTCATCGCCTCCACTGATTTATTTAATCACAGAGATGACTCTGTAAAGAGTGCCCTGGGGCTGTCCATTTTATTCTCCCACTTCATATCACCAGACTGGGACAGGTGAAGTTAAGGAAAGCCTTTAAGTACTGTGGCTATATTCATGTAATAGTCCCCACCTATCTATGAAAATCTCTTTCTTTCAAATAAAACATCTGTCAAAACCACTTCTACTCTTAATTTCATAGTCATGCACAAACTAATGTCAAATATACTAAATAGAACTATTTTCCTTTACTCACACTGAAATAACTGTTAATTGAAAAACTCTCGCACGGAATTTATTTTTTCGAGCTTATGTCATTTAAAATTCTACTGTAAAGCCTGAACTGCGCAATATTGCAAACAGAAAAGTCTATATTCAAAGATGTATTTAGAGTAGGCAATCAATACGCCTTCCGTATAGCATCAGTGCTTGCATACACACAAGTAGAGCACATCTCAAAGCTCATTGATCGAGTATGTTGAGCATACAAACACATGACAGACATCATTTACTTTCTGTGGTCAGATCATGACAAGAATTTACCTTGAAGAAGCTGAACAGTCCCTTTGGAAATAGGAAAGTTGGAGAAAGCACCCTCTTTCTGTTCTTCAGTCATCTCCTGTTAGGTAAACAAGAAATCAAGTAACATCCCACGTGAATATCATACAACCATCAGAAAATTCAAGGTAATGGCATAGGCATTGGTGGCATACTCAGGGGTCAAATTTTCAGTGACAGTATCTCAGCTGCAGCTCAAGGGTCTTCTTTGTTTCACTTGCTATCATATTTCAAAGTTAGACAAAAGTGATCTGTAATTTAAATTAGGACTTTCATATCTAATGGCATAACCCTGTAAATGCAGAATGCCCAAATCAAAAGTCTGAAGACTCTTAATTCAATTTTAACATTCAATTTTAAATACTTACCAACGGCCTAACAGATTATGTTGTAATATGCAAGAATCAGGCTTGATATCTTTTCCCTACTTCCCAATTAATATAGCACGGTGATTTACAAAATCAGTCCCCAAAAGAATTATGAGGTAGAGCGCCAAACACACCGACTTAGAAAGGCATCACTTCCACACACGTTTTAACAGCAGAGTGATTAAAATGCTAAGCCTGAGGAAAGAATGTTAACCCTGGAAACCATGGAAACCCTGGATGCTTTGTGAAGCATCACTTGGAACAAGACACAAACCCAAGCAACAGCAGAACATACAGGGATCAAGACTTTTCAAAACAAATCCTAGGTACAACATATGTTTCCCTTAAAAAACAATAAAATGCATTCATATCAAACAATTTTAAAGGAACCTAAATCAAATCAAACAGAAACAGTCAGACAAAATAAAAACATTCTTACAGAAACACTTAAACAGGCTTACAAAACTGTTACAGCATGATACTTTATTACATTAAGGACCACCTTATCACATTAACAACTACTATTTAATAAGATGATACATGAAAATGTGTTAATACATAACTTTTCTTATACCACTAGCTAAAACCAAGTAATTCTTATTTCCGTACAGAAGTACTCATAATACATAAAAAAAGTCATTTAAACTATATTTGTGGCAATTACAACCATATCCAATGATGCTGAATCATATTAAAGCATCATCTCACTGCAGCTTGTCCATCTGCCAGCAGCTACCACAGTACCAGACTCTTGAAGTGAAGAAACTGTGGAACTTCAGGACTTTCATAATTTAAATTTTTTGCAAATTATCAACAGAAGGGACAGCTCGAGTAGCTGTAAACCCTGAAAATTTACAGCAGTCTTTCCTCTGATTAGGGGAAAAAAAAAAAAAAAAAAAAAAGGGAAAGATAACCTGTTCTAAATTTAACCCTGTTGCGACGCAGGAGTTGAAAGCTAAACACATAACTATAACTAATTATTAGTTTTACCTGCTCTTGGTCACTGTCACCATCGCCACTTGATGTTTCACTAGAATTGCTGGGTCGTTTTTTGTGGGCAGATTTAATGTTTAAGGAAGACAATCTTGCATTCTCCGGGCTTTCTTCTCTCGTATGACCGTTTTGTTTAATTCCACTCTTGGATTTCTTGAGTTTCGGAGGATCGGCATCGTCCTCCGACTGCTCGCTTTCATCAGTCTGAGCCTTCCTCTTCCGAGGTTTCTCATGGCGTTTCGCCTTCTTCTCTTTTTTCTCCTTCTGATAGGGCACAGAGGAACACAGAGGTAAACGAAAAACCCACGCACACCATCCAAGCGACGCCAAACAGAGGAGAGAGTTAAAACTAAAAGTATATATTCTAGTTACTGACGGCGGGGGGTCGCGTAGATCCCCCC